CTCCCCTCTCCCTCCCCCTCCTCCTCCTACTCATTCCTTTTTTTAAAAAATAAATTTATTTATTTATTTATTTATTTATTTATGGCTGTGTTGGGTCTTCGTTTCTGTGCGAGGGCTTTCTCTAGTTGCGGCGAGTGGGGGCCACTCTTCATCACGGTGCGCGGGCCTCTCACTGTCGCGGCCTCTCTTGTTGCGGAGCACGGGCTCCAGACGCGCAGGCTCAGTAGTTGTGGCGCACGGACTTAGTTGCTCCGTGGCATGTGGGATCCTCCCAGACCAGGGCTCGAACCCGTGTCCCCTGCATTGGCAGGCAGATTCTCAACCACTGCGCCACCAGGGAAGCCCTCATTCCTTTTTTAATTGAAGTATGGTTGATTTACAGTGTTGTGTTAGCTTCAGGTGTACAGCAAAGTGATTCATTTATACATATATGTCTTCCTTTTCAGATTCTTTTCCATTATAGCTTATTACAAGATATTGAGTATAGTTTTCTGTGCTATGCAGTAGGTCCTTGTTGGTTATTTTATATACAGCAGTGTGTATCTAGTGTGTGTATCTGCTAAGCCCAAACTCCTAATTTATCCCTCTCCCTCTCTTTTGCCTTTAGTAACCGTAAGTTTATTTTCAGTGTCTGTGAGTCTAAACTCTTTCTTCTAACAAACTGTAATGTGGGATCCACACAGAATAAGAGCTCACAGTTTGGGAACCTCCACTGTGTATCTCACACTGTGCCAGGTGCGTTTGCCTGCAATCCATCACTTTGCTTCATCAACTGTAGGAAATACGCATTTGAAACTTACTCGAGGTCACACAGCTAATAGGCACATATAGAAAACTCTGAGCTATTGTGGTTGAAGCAGGGGCAAGGCAGATATTGGGCCTAGAGTGCCTTTCTGTTGCTCACCCGTCACCTCTACTTTCTCTGGCCCCCACCCTGCCAGTCATAAAACCCTGGGACCTCACTGGAATCCCCTCTTTGCCTCCCCGCAAGACCTGCCCCAGAGTAGGCACGTAAGGAGCTGGTCCCTCAGGGCAGTGGGCTGAAGCGTGGTGATGGCAGCGCTTAGTTTTAAGGCAAGACCATAAAACCCTGTCTACTCAGGGCCACGCGTGACCTCATTAAAATAAAATGCGGGGAACCACAAAGCGCTCTTTCCATACTTAACAAATAAAACTATATATATATATACAGATATATGGATGCTCCTCTGCTTGTTAACTGATGTTCAAAATGGATTTCTTCTTATTAACAAGGAAAAAAAAATAGTACATGAGACAAATGAAAGTGCCCTTAAAGAAAATGCAAATCCCCAAAGGCAGCAGGTCACACAGATGCTACGGAAAGAAGCTTGTGTCTCTCCTGAGAAGTGTTGGGTTGGCTTCAGCACCCACCCGACATCCTCGTGCTGGGGCTCCTCTCTTCCCTGCCCGAGCTGTGCTTTTGGCCTGGTTTCCAGCGGAGACTCGTGTGGCTCTGGTTCAGCCCTCCAGGGATCTGCCTGGGGACCAGGCGGTTTGAGCGTTGAGCACAGGCCCCAGCTGGGTGTGCCACCTGCGTCACACGGCTCCCCGCCGGGCAGGGTGGATATTGCACGGGGTTGGGCCTCGGGAGCCAGTAGTCCGGCTCACTGTTCAGGAAATGTGTCCCATGAAGAGTGCTTGAATAACAGCAGTCCTAAACACCTGTTTTGAGCCATTCCTCCCTTCCTTTGTCTGGGCCCTTCTTCCTAGTGATTTTGGTTTTACGTCTCGGGAGCTCTAATGTTGCAGGGGAACGCATGGCCGGCCCTGTGGTACCTGATGACCAGGAGACCTTGTAAACTCGGGGCTGTCCTGGGACACGTCAGGTCTCACCTGTGCTAGGAAATGCCCCAAAGGTCAAAAGAGCTAGAGTAATGTGGGCTGGGAAGGCCCCCTCTACACCAGGTGAGGCTACTGTGCAGGGTAACCACATAGAGACCATGGAAAGCAGGCAGGAGCTGAATGTAAGTTTGCAAAGACAGCGCTTTTTCTGTGGAAAACTGATATAGGAATGTCAAAGCAGCAGTTGGTCAGCTGTTAACCAACTTCTGTCTGAGGGAAGAGAGGACTGGAGGCACCTGTTCTTTGGGGCAGCCCAGCCCCTCCACTCTCACCCGCTGCCAGGGCCACGCTCCTGGGCTGCAGCCTTCCATCTCCTGGGGGTGCTGCGCTCTGCGGTGCCGCTCATGGTCACTAGGAGCCCCTGAACCTTTCCCACCAATGCCTTCCTTTTTGGACTTCGGGTTTTGAAGTTTTCTGGCATAATCGATTTACAGAGATATCCTCCAGTTGCTCAGCTGTTGCTTGCCTCTCCTATAAAGTTTGCAGAGAGTTTCAGGTTACAGATCCTTGGCCAGGAAATCCTGCTGAGCCAGGAGCTTTTCATTCATCCCTCCAGTTGGTCAGCTGTCTTCTGCACAGACTTCTCCAGGTCCCTCAACGTCTTTAAGTCAGCTCTTCCCCCGGACTGTTCTTTGTCACAGTTATCGTGACCCGGTGATCATTCTGCATTTTCCAAGTCCTGACCATGGCTTCTCCATAGCCTGTGAGGATTTTCCCCTAAAGAGTAGTTTCTAGAAAGGCAACAGAGCTCCTCTGGCCTCTTCCACAAGGCAGGCCAGGTCTCGGAGAATTGGTTCACTGCGGCCCTGCTGTGGGGAGATGTGAACGCCGTGCTTCTCACTGTCGGTGATGTTCACTCTGACCCTGGTCCTGCCAGCACCTTGCTGTGGGCAGTTGGGGCCACACCTTCGTCAGTAGCCTGTAAGCCTCAGCATCAGGGACCCCGATGGATTTCGTCATGACCACTGACCATGCTCCCAACAGACAGTGTTGGGAAGAGGCCGGCCTGGCCTGGGCCGGGAGAGCCATCTGGCCCTATGGCCACGCTAGCTGCTGGATACCCCACCTGAAGACTGGCTGCCGCCCCTTGTCTCCTCCCCGTCGTGCCTTGATCCCAGGATATACGTTTTGGAAAATCTTTTGTGGTCATCATTTTGTTTCAGGGTATCAGAACTACAAAATGAACCAGAGTATATCATAATACCCTTTAACATATGCCAAATTTCATAGAAAGTTAGCAAATTCCTTGGAAGATTATAGAGCAGATAAGAAGTCAGCCAAGGAGCCAAGTTGACCAGAGACCCTCCCAGGCCTGTACCCTTCCCCCTCTTCACTTTATTACTCAGGTCCTTTTAAGACCCTTGGTGACTGATTGACAGTCAGACAATGAGGGTGAGCTTGAGAGGGGACAGGCTCACCTGCAAAGACCTTCCTAACTGATCCATGTGATGCATCATCTTCTGTTCTTTTTTTGACAGATGCTATTTGACATCTGTTAGAAATCTAGACTGAAAGAGCCTTAAGGACAGGGCTTGTTTTGTTTTTTTGCTATTCCAGCCCCAACAAGCTTATAACACCCTGTGCTTAACTGTTACTGGAAGAAGGGAGATGCCAAGCCTTCTAACTAATTGCCTAAACTCCTGACCCTTTAGGAGGGATTTAAAATAGTCTGTAAATTAAGGGACTTCCCTGGAAGTCCAGTGGTTAGGGCTCCACGCTTCCAGTGCAGGGAGCATGGGTTCGATCCCTGGTTGGGGAACTAAGATCCCACATGCTGCGCTGCACGGCCAAAAAAAAAAAAAGTCTGTAAATTAAAATGCCTTGAAATTAAAAGCAAATGTCTAGGTATGATTTAACTATGCCCACGTGCATTACTAGGGACTCGACGATTAGATTTAAGGTTAAACATTATATTCAGCCTCTAGGAAAGCACTGAAGTGAAAATCACCTTAAAATGGTGAATTTTATGTTAATTAGATCACAATTTTAAAATACCAAGGGTTTTAGAAAATACTGTCTGAGTTTAGTTATAAATCATCTTCACGTTTCAGGTAATTTGTTTACCAAAAAGAGAGATTGGGGGAGAGTAATACATGCTTGTTAAAGCTCAAATAAATTCTAAAAGAACAATCTCTTCTTTCTCACTCTAAATCCCTC